AGACGATCCCCGATATATTGATAGCCTTTCAAATATATCTTCGAACCTCCTCGCTTCTGTCTTTTGATTTCACTTGGTGGGTACGCTTCATTATATAAGATGTTACTGGTTAAAGCGTTTTCAAACTTCGAATGCCTGTAGCATCTTCACACTTTTATGTGTTGCAGGTGTATAACTTGCTTGATCTCGTTTCTTTTCCATCTCGAATTCACTGGCAGCCATAATATATTCGTTGTGCAAAGGTACTTGCCTCTGGTTGAGTGAAATTTTGAAAATTATGGTGAGGGGCATCAATATGTCTACAAACATCCTCCATACAAGAGTTCATACAGTACCAAAAGAAATTCGCTCTACGAACACCAAATTTGTCTGATGGAATTTTCAAAGAAGTATTTTTACGCCGCTAAGCTTCTCACCAACTCCGCCTGGAGTCCTTCCGAGGGCTACTGCCGGTCCCAAGCCCGGGTTAACGAGCAGGGTTAGGCATGGGGTTAGCGTCTCCATCCCGTAGAAAACTAACTCGCTAAAAAAACGCTAACCAGGAAAAATTATTCAAACATTTTAACCTCTGCCCTGAGAGTCAAAAGGTCTTCATTTAGAAGAACTATGACGCCTCATGATGAAAGCCGAATTCCTTCGGAAGTCACGAGGCCGATGCCCCTTCTGACAACCAGAGCGACCATTTATTTAGGTACATGGAATGTTCGTACAATGTGGGACACCGGGAGAGTCCTCCAAATTGCTGCAGAAATGAGGAGATACGACCTAGAGGTGCTTGGGATCAGTGAAACACATTGGACGCAAGTTGGACAACGACTAGCTTCGGGTGAGCTTCTGTTATACTCCGGCCATGATGAAGAAAATGCCCCACACACACACACACAAAGAGTTGCGTTGATGCCGTCCAAAAAAGCACAAAATGTACTTATTGGATAGGAATCTCATGGACCAAGGATCATCAAAGCCTCCTTCAAAACAAAGAAAGAGAGCATTTCAATGAATATCATCCAATGCTATGCGCCTACCAATGATTACAATGATGACGCTAAAGATCAATTCTACGATAGACTGCAGTCAATAGTCGAGAAGTGCTCAATAAAGGGCCTGACCATTGTGATAGATTTCAATGCCAAGGTTGGAACGGACAACACTGGATATGAAGACATCACGGGACGACACGGACTGGGAGAAAGAAACGAAAATGGTGAGAGATTTGCAAACCTATATGCCTTCAATAAACTGGTCATTGGCGGCACCATATTCCCACATAAATGCATACACAAAGCCACAAGGATTTCAACGAATAACACTATAAAGAACCAAATCGACCATATTTGCACCAACAAAAAATTCAGGAGGACGATGATGGATGTGAGAACCAAGAGAGGAGCTGACATAGCATCAGATCATCACTTGCTGATCGCCAAGATGAAACTGAAACTCAAGAAGCACTGGACAACGGGGCGGACAATATCACAACAGTTCAATACGGCCTTTCATCAGGATACTAACAAACTCAACAAATCCAAGTTAGTCCTCAGCAATAAGTTCCAGGCCTTTCATGATCTACTCAATGGAGAAGGAACTACTGTGGAGAGCAACTGGAAGGGGATCAAATAGGCAATCATTTCAACATGTCATGAGCTCCTGGGCAACAAGGAACATCATCACAAAGAACGGATCACTGTTGATACAATGGATACAAATCAAGAAAGGAGGAAGAAGAAAGCAGTAATCAATACCAGCCGAACAAGTGCATAAAAAGCCAAGGCATAAGCTGAATACACAGAAGTAAACAAAAAAGTGAAGAGGAGCATCAGAACTGACAATTGTAAATGAGTGGAAGATCTAGCAATGGCGGTGGAAAAGGCTGCAGAAGAAGTAAACATGGGACAACTGTAAGACTCAACAAAGAAACTCTCTGAAAATCGCCGCAGACCAGAACGACCAGTGAAAAGCAAGGTATGCAAAGTAATCACCAACATGGATGAACAACGAAACAGGTGGGTAGAACACTTCAAAGAACTCTTGAATCGACCAGCCCCACTGAATCCACCCAACATTGAAGCAGCATCCACGGACGTCCCAATGTACGTTGGCCCACCAACAATTGAGGAACAAGTACCAACAGACTGGAAAGAAAGACTTCTGATCAAAAACCAAAGAAAGGCGATCTCAGCAACTGTGATAACAACTGGGGCATCACTCTTCTCTCAATACCGGGAAAAGTCTTCAATAGGGTATTGCTAAACAGGATGAAGGACTGCGTAGACGCCCAACTTCGTGACAAACAGGCAGGAGGATTCCGTAAGCATAGATCGTGTACAGACCGAATCGCAACTCTACGGATCATTGTGGAACAATCAATTGAATGGAATTCATCACTCTACATCAACTTCATTGACTACGAAAAAGCATTTGACAGCGTGGACAGAATAACACTATGGAAGCTTCTTCGACACTACGGCGTGCCTCAGAAGATAGTCAATATCATACAGAGCCCATATGATGGATTACACTGCAAAATCGTGCATGGAGGACAGTTGACAAACTCATTCGATGTAGAGACCGGTGTCAGGCAAGGTTGCTTACTCTCACCCTTTCTCTTTCTTTTGGTGATCGACTGGATCATGAATACGTCAACATCTGAAGTGAAACACGGGATACAATGGACATCTAGGATGCAGTTGGACGATCTAGACTTCGCAGATGATCTGGCCCTTCTATCCCAAACTCAACAACAAATGCAGGAGAGGACGAAGAGTGTAGCAGCAGCCTCAGCAGCAGTAAGTCTCAATATACACAAAGGGAAGAGCAAGGTTCTCCGATGCAACACAGCATGCACCAATCCAGTCACAATTGACGGAGAAGATTCGGGAGATGTAAAAAACCTTTACATATCTGGGCAGCATCATTGATGAACATGGTCGATCTGATGCAGATGTGAAGGCACGGATCGGCAAAGCAAGAACAGCATATTTACAATTGAGGAACATCTAGAACTCAAAGCAACTGTCAACCAACACCAAGGTCAGGATTTTCAATACAAATGTCAAGACAGTTCTACTGTATACTGGGGCGGAAACCTGGAGAACAATGAAAGTCATCGTCCAGAAGATACAGGTGTTTATTAACAGTCGTCTACGCAAAATACTTCAGATCTGTTGGCCGGACACTATTAGCAACAACCTACTGTGGGAGAGAACAAACCAGATCCCAGTGGAGGAAGAAATCAGGAAGAAGAGCTGGAAGTGGATAGGACACACATTGAGGAAATCACCCAACTGCGTCACAAGACAAGCCCCCACATGGAATCTTCAAGGCCAAAGGAAAAGAGGAAGACCAAAGAACACACTACGCCGGGAAAAGTTGAACAAGAATTGGATGGAATTAGAAAAGAAGGCCCAGGATAGAGTGGGTTGGAGAATGCTGGTCGGCGGCCTATGCTCCATTGGGAGTAACAGGGTAAGTAAGTATGTAAGTAAGCCTCTCACCTTTTTCCTTATCGGGCCATCTTTTACGGATATGTCAAGGAAAAACTCTTGCATCTAGGCACGTCGGGGTGTACTTATAAATCCACGTGCACAATGAACAGTCGGAATGAGGCATTATTTCTGAGAGTACCGCAGGGTCGAGATGAGGATTTGGAGTAGACAGAAAGTTGGAGTAAGTTCGAACTGCTCTATATGAAGATCAGTACGTAGTGGAGAACCTCCAGGTTCTGTCCTAGATACTTTACTTTTTTAACTGTATGTAAATGATCTCCAAAGTGTAGTTCAATCCTTAATGTTATTATACGCTGGTGATGCAAAAATCTGGTGGGAAATAACAGGAGACACGGATACATGTGCATATCAGGCAGACTTGAATATTGTGATTAGCTGGTTTAAAGAGTGGCTGATGCCTATCAACGCGGAGAAGTGTATCTATATGCACTTTATGGATACAAAAGTAAATAGATACAGCATAGCGAAAGTGCCTGTAGCGGTAAATAAATCCCCAAACTAAATAGCTCTGTAGGTTTTCGACATTGGATGCTGACCATATGTTTTAGTGGACTCATCTAGCTGAAGGCGCTCGGTCATGCATCCGCACCAGATCACGTGCTGTAACGCTGTGCTCAACATCAACCGCAATCACTAGCCAGATTAGATCAGAGAATTCCGATATATTGGTTATCGCCAAATACACTGTTCCGATCTCCTCGACTCTGTCTTTTGATTTCTCTTGGTGGGAACAAAGCATATTAGAAGGTGTTACTGGTAGAAGCGTTGTCAAACACTGAATACCTGTATCATCCCCATGCCTGTACACATGGTCCGATTTCACAACGATCTTAGGACAACCGTGAGTCATGATCTTAAGACCATTGCCCATTTCAGGGAAGTTCTAGCTAAAGGGTCGAAAAACCCCAAGGCTTTTGGACGGACATATACCTAGTTTTATGTCATCATGCTCACTAAAGTATACACAATCTTAGTGAGAATCAAACTTGAAAATTGCGTTCAGGCTGCAAGCCTCTGTTTGAAAGGTGACTCAGATATCCTGGAAAACGTAGAGGGGGAAGCTACCCCGGTAATTCAAGGACTTCGGGGTTTACCATATAAAGAGCTGTGGGAAAGGTTAGATCTCTTTACTCTCTCCTACCACAAACTGGAAGGTGATTTGATTTTGATGTATTGAGTACTAAGAAATGATTTTGAACCTAATTTATCATCTCTTTACCTTTCCACTAGATTGGGACATCTCAGAGGACATAGCAGGCGGGCGGGAGAGTCAAGAACGGACAAAATACCTGTGGTATCTAGATTTTTACACCGAGTGATTAGTTCATGGAACTTGTTACCCGAATCAGAGATGTCCACACCTTCAACTGACTCATTCAAAATAAGGTTAGACACTCGCAAAAAAGACTACAAGTGGAATAACACAGGCCGTAATCCTTCTGTTTTTACTACACAAATCTGTATCTGAAAAATGTAGGTACGCTCAAACTCACCTGCGCTTGTTTTGATTTTGACGAGTTGGCCTTGAGGCTCACATGATTGCGATCGTATGTTACGCCACATCAATTCGTATTGTAAATCTACCAGAGTGTAAGTTACGTGGTCTAAGTAGCACCTATCCTTATGATAACTGTGACTCAAATAAACACGATTTGACTATTCAAGAAAAACAGAACCCACACTCCACCCATGCATATCGGATAGTGAAAAATGTTTTCTCTTTAAACTTGCTGGAATTTCAGTATTTGTACGATGCTTCCATGGATCAGGTTTTTGCTGCTTGCCTACTTCGCTACCTCAGGCATCTCAAAACCGTACCGGCTATGTTCCTTCCATGTCAGTATGAACGGACATTATGTGATAACCCAATGTAAGCTAATTTTCTGTATAATTCTGTACAAGGTGGAAAGTTGTTATAAGTCGTCTGGTAAAGGCAATTGTAATCGAAGAATCTATGGCATGGCTTTCTACACTTGGCGGTGGATATTCGTCACTTGGAGATCACAGTGATTATGCGGTAAAGTAATATTTTTGCCTAACTCAAGTAGGCGAGTTTGGCTGGGACGGTCTCACTCTTTCAAATGAGCCTTGCATTAGAAATTAACTCGCCTGTTCTCCTAGCTAAGTCCCAACTTTGGTTTGCTCAAAGTTTAATGCAGAGAGGATATTTGAAAAATTCTGCTAAAATATTGAGGTAACAACTTTATTAATATAAACTGGTATCTGGGTACCCTGATTCCATTAAATTGTGATAATGATATGTGTCAATGCGTTCGCTACATTTGAACTATTTTCTATTATGAACGTACTCACTAGCACATATTTTTATATTTTTGGTTTGAACTCTAAATCTGTCCCCAGATCATGATTGCCTGTAATAAATTAAGTTGGTCACCGACTAATTGATCCTGTTAACTGTTGTCTTTATTTACCTGCAAAGTGGGTCGTTTGTGTTATCGATCCATCTGTTATCCTTATCCGAATTTGAACGTCTTTAATTATTTATAACCCGACTGTTTATCTAATAAAAGATCCCCATGTTGTTAATGGATATTAAAAATTTACTGCTGTTTGACATTATCTATCTAGACGTAACAATCTGTTCGTTTTTTCGTTAAATTTGGTTTCACAATCGTAGATACAACAGGGATTTTCGGTGTTTTTATTTCATTTAGTTTTATAGTTATCAAAGGAAACTGCTTACCTAAACATCGCAAGAAAGTCATTGACAAGTATGACAATTCATGTATTTCTACACACAACGCTTTTTGTTAAGACTATTGGTTTTGCTACTTATGCTGTTGTACTTATATCCCAGCTGCGTTAAAACAAATTGTTTTGAACGAACCATAAAGATGGGTATCGTTTAGGTTGCCTTACATTTTTTCTGCTTCACAGTCGACTATTAACATATTGTAATATTGGTGATTCTATTATTAAGTGCAAGTATTAATTAACTTGATTACTTCTTTTTGTCGAATTCTTCCTAGTTTCTTCCGATTTCACCGCATAAAAACTCGTGGCTAGGTAATGTGTCTTAAGTATTAAGATATCTATATTTGGCTAATTATCCACTGCTCTGTATATGCTTTCTTACTTTATTGTCCTCCTTACTATCTCCTGATGTTTTGAGATAATATTCTGCGTCACTTCTGACTTCAAAGGCTATGAGTAGGGTTGTTAATGTACTTTTTAGCTGTGTCATAAATGTTATTAAAATCAGACATTCAGAATGTCCAGAAAAATTGGCTAGTGTAATCTTATTGAATTTACGTTGTTTTTGTTACAAATTTCCCTTTGGGTGAGGAAGGTGAGAGTAAATGAAAGAATCTTCACATCACGCAGATTTCAAAAGATACAATACTCTAACTATCATATGTAATGTGCAACAAATAGGTTGGAAAACATGATTGGTCCTAAACCCCAGAATCTGAAGATAAATATCTCTTACCCTTGTCGTAAATTTCCCTTGGAAAGTGTTAGTTGTATGTCCTTAATCTTTACAATCGATGGAGTCCCTCTGTAACATCATGAAAAAGTTATTGTTGGCTTGTGAAACATTTAACGTAAAGCAAAACCTGTCTAAGTCCGACAAGTTATTGTGTCAAAAATAGTGGTAACCTCGTGTCTCGTAGTCGGGGAAAATTAGCAAATGTCAGCACACCACCATGTTCTTTATAATGATGTAATATACCTAATTAGTTTATTGTGGTTTAATAACGTAGATTTTAGATTTACGATACATTGGCTTAAGTTACTGCATTTACAAAAGAAAGCTGCTAACAATCAACTGATGTTCTTTGAGAAAATGTTGATGCGATTGATTTCCCTCACAAGCAAAGCAAGAATAACAGTATTCTTGGAACTAAATGAATCCACTTTATTTATTTCTCTTTGGCTACATACAATCTAATAAGTTCAGTTAGTTCAAAATATTATGTAATTTTCAAGAAATCTCGTCACGTATACAATTTAACTGTAAAGTCGACTGCACCACTAGATGACCCAGGTTTGGGTCTTTGAGAGTGCATCAGTCTATTTAAAATATGGGTGCAACTTGTTTGTTTGTACCTGCTAGCACAATACCGATGTCCAAAGTTTCGTGCCTATCGCCCTTGACCACCTAAATATTACTTGTTTGGTGATTACTTCAACAACATCAATGTGAGGTCATGTGTAAATTTCCTGATGTTTTACAGTGCTTTCTGGATATACATGAGTCGAATATAATTCTTTTTGGTTCACTACGGTACCTAAACTTTTTTACCTGTGTGTTAGTTGTAAGGTAGCAATATAATATGAAATACTACTTTGATTCGAATGGTGAAAAAAGTTTAAGTTCATATACCATTTAATTTACCATATCAGCCGTATAGTGCTAGATTCTTTCGAATTAAGTTTTGTGTGGCTAGTTAGGTGGTAAAATTTCCATCCAATCGGGGTTGTGGCATAATTAAAGACTGATACAAGTACCAGCTTGTACCAATATAAAAAGAATTCATGTAAATATTAACAGTTTATTTATGTTTTATCTTTACTGTACATGAGTATTGAGAACAAAAATCCATGAAGTTCAAAATGCAATGCTATTGCAACAGTAATCCTGTGGTTCTCGTAAAATATATTTGCTCATAATACTTCCATTCTCTTTCTTATCATTTGGTTTCCTTAATCAGTGATGTCATGTAAGTTGTGTAAACCTATTTACATACTAGTTTTGCTTGTAACTTATACAAAACGTTCCGGTGTTTTTTTGTATTTTCTTATTACAGACGAATATACATAATGTGGAAACCTCTTATGAGGCCTGATGTTTCATCTGATATGCGCATAGACTACATGGCTCTTGGTTTGTGGGCACGTTTACGTCACTTATGGAAAACAAAACACAAAATAAAGTCGAGTTTATCCATTTCATTATCAGTGGATAATAATTTACTTTCTCTATATCCACATGTTAATATGTTAGTCAGTCGACTTTAAATATAAAGATTTATATACTTTCAAAATATTTGTATAACTACTTATTTTACCTTCAGATATCTTCCGTTTTTGTTCAATCTCATCAAATACTACTCATGAATTATATTGGTATGTTTTTTATCTTACTGGGTTAGTCACTTAGTAGTTTATCTTGTTCACGTCAGTTCATTTGTCAACGAGTTTGTTGTGTCCTCATAATGACACACCATACTTATTAGTAATTTTATGATTACTTGTGGTTTAATTTACATTCCGTGTTCTTACTGAATACCGATGTTGAAACTTAAACTCATCGTTATAAAGTCTTGGGGAGTCTAAACTAAGTTATTTATTGTTGCTTTGTTCCTTACGCACTGAGTTGTTTCCTCAAGCATGAAATTGACCGAATTATAGACGTCTTCTCATACTCACAGTACTATTTGTAAATTTATGAACGTTAGTTATTTTTCATCACTACCTTGTAAGCATAGCATTGATCTCGCACACTGATATCAGGGTATATAATTATTTTCTGTAAAAATAACTAGGTTTTTTGGGATTGAATAGAGTATATGCCTCTGGGTATAATGAATATGTAAAATTCCACTTGCAGTTTACTGTGAACTTTAATGGCTCAGTTTGTACTTTAGCTTTCATAGTTCACATTCTCACAATTCTGCGTTAAATTCATAATTCGAAATACAGTAGCTGATAAGTCAATTCCTACTTGTTTTATAAAATATCACCAGTTTTTCAATTCCAAAATCGTTCTGTAACTCGAAGAGATTTTTGCTACACGGGCGTCAATTTTTTTGTGAGATAATTTCTTATTTCAACTTAATCACAGTTGATACAGTGTTTATTTTACTTTTTATTTATTTGAACACATAAATATTGGTACAAGAGAGCGCCAATATATATGCGCCACACAAAACAATGAAAATTCGAAGAGATAGAAAAAAAACTAAGGAGCACAAAAGAAAAAGAGAACGATAACAAAGAGATTGGTGTAAGGTAGTGTGGTAGTAACGAGGAAACGGAAAGGTACAATCAGAAGAAATCTTTCAAGTAAGGGAGACAACCACTTTTTATGAAGAAAGTAAGAGAAGGTTACAGCAGGATCGCCACTGGCTTCTATTCTGAGCCATATCTGATAACGTCTCTAGCCACTGTGTAGCACCGTCTCTCAGACCCCAACCAGGGAGTCGTGAAGGACCGACAGAAGCCAGTCCTTTGCAGCATTCTTTCATACCACGACACCATGTCATGCACTGACCACCTCTCCACTTTTTCCAACCAGTCCCAGAGTCGGCAAATAATGCACGACGTGGAATTCTCTGGGATGACATTCGTAGAACATGTCCAAGCCACCGAAGTCGGTGTTTCAAGATGGTGACACCAATCGAATTATCATCTCTGTGCCCGAACACACGATGCCGAACCTCTGCATTACTAACATGGTGTTGCCACTGAGTGTCAGCGATCCTTCGGAGACAGCGATGATCGAACACAGAGAGTCGTCTAACGTCCTCAACTCGGAGAGGCCAGGTTTCACAAGCATAGAGCAAAACTGCTCTCACCGACGCGTTGTTGATCCGACCTTTTACAGCCAGACTAACATCACAAAGGCGCCAAAGGTGACCCAGATTGGCATAAGCCGCTCTGGCTTTCACTACGTGCATTGATCTCATCACTCACACCCCCACCAGCACTTATGCAGCTACCCAGATACACGAACTTCTCGACTACGTCTATCTGCTCACCATCCAGGGTGAGTACAGGATTGGAATCCTGCCAGTCTTGTAGAAGTACTTTGCACTTCGAAGGTGCAAAGCACATACCATACCTACGAACACTGATTGCCAACTGATTAAGTGCGGATTGCATGCCTTGGGCATTATCGCACAGTAAGACAATATCGTCCGCATACTCAAGGTCGAGAAGTCTTTCTCCAGGCAACAGATCCACACCACCATTACTTACATTCATCAGAGCTGTTTCCAGAATGTCATCGATGGTAAAGTTGAAGAGGAATGGTGAGATTGGGCAACCCTGCCTAACCCCACTACTCGAATGGAACAATGGAGAGAGGTGGTTGTATGCCCTCACTCTGCCTGAGGTGTTTGTATATGGGGCTTTTAGGATGTTAACAAACTTCTCAGGCACACCCTTCTTGAATAGACAATCCCAGAGAACAGTCCTGTCCAACGAATCGAAGGCAGCCCTGATGTCAAGAAACACTACGATTGTTGGCCTTTGATAAGTATGACGGTGTTCTAACATTTGGCGGAGGGTGAAGTTATGATCAATACATCCTCGACCAGAACGAAACCCAGCCTGCTCCTCGCGAGTCAATCTTTCTCGGGTTTTGAACAACCTACGAAGTATGACGGAAGCCAATAGCTTGGACGCAATCGGAAGTAGACTTATCCCCCGATAGTTGTTGCAGGAACGACGTGAACCCTTTTTAAAGATAGGGACAACAATCGACTCATTCCATGACGTTGGTACATTCTCTAATTCCCAAACCTTTGTAAACAACGTCGTCAATTCCTTAGTCAAAAAGTCACCACCATCTTTAAAAAGAGCCGGGGGTAAGTCATCTGGGCCAGGTGATTTGTAACGCTTCAAGTGTTGGAGTTCCTTGCGGACCTCCTCCTCGTTTGGTGGATCAGTCGTCACCGGCCATGGAGGGCAGGACAGTCTGATCGATGTTGCCGGAGCAGCAGGCCAGTTGAACTGCCCTTCGAAAAATTCTGCCCATCGTCCAAGACGTCGGTGGATGTTAGTGATTGGCATCCCATCATCCTCGCAGATTGTTTCACTCACACCAGACTTCTTGCTGCGAGTGGCTCGGATGAGTTGGAAGAGCTTCCGGGAATTACCAGATGCAGCTGCTGCTTCCAACTCATTAACACGCTCCTACCACCAGGCTTCTCGGTCTTGACGCAAGCTTTACTCAATTTCCTTACGTAAAATTCTTTGTTTGTGGTCAAACTCACGGTCACCCAGAGTAGACCGACGGGTTTCAATTAGTTGTAAGGAAACTGAAGAAACCCAGTGCTTATAAGCGGGACGTTTCGCGAACCCACAACTGACTGTACCCGCCATTTTCATGGCGTCATGCAACTGCAACCAATGCTCATCTATACTTTTCGGTGGAATAGTAGCTAGCCTAGAAATTAGCTCGGTTCGATACTTACTTGCAACAGAAGTTGCAACTAGCTTGCTAACATCAATCTGTTGGTGGCGGTCACTTCGTTGTCCACTGAAAAGTAAGGCAAGATTGGCGCAGACCAAGGCATAATCAGAGTCAAGATAGGTACTCCAAAAGGAGCGGCAGTCTTTTACACAACCACGCCAGCGGTAGCTGATCGCGATGGGATCAATCTGAGTCCAGGCTTGGGATGCAGAGGGAGGACGCCAGGTGGCACATCGGCGATGACTGTGCCGAAAGTTAGTGCTAGCCAGAAACAGGTTGTGGTCTGTGCAAGGTTGCAGTAGACGGTCCCCGTTATCTGACCTGCGACCAACGAGTCCCCATCGGCCACCTAAACGACTCTCTTCTGTGCCTAGACGCCCGACCTGAGCATTCAAGTCTCCGGCTAGTACTACAATATCTGTCGAACGCACTTTCTGGAGAAGAACAGATAACTGGTGGTAAAACTCATCCTTGATTGCATCCGGGCTGCAATCTGTCGGGGCCTAGGCGGAGATGACGAAAAGACATCGTTTCTCACGCCGATTTCTTCTCACTTAAATGGGACTCTCCAATCTAACAGCACATAACCGACTGTTAATGGGGATCCAATCGATTAGTGCTGCCTCAGCTCTAGCGCTTAGTGCGACACCAACGCCAGCAAGACCAGACGAAGATGCCACAGGGTCCCTGGATAAGCGCACGTAAAATAAGCTTTTTGAAGCGACAGATGGAGATCGAATTTGTAGTACTTCGCCAGAGTCTTGAATACGGGTCTCGGATAGACAACAAACATCAATATTAAGGCTTTCCAAAGACATAGCCAGCCCTATCTGTTGTCCGACCTGCACTAGTGTGCGAACGTTGAAGGCAGCCAGTTTGAATGGTTCACGTGGTTTCAGAAAAACTGCTTCAGTTCTCGTATTCGGTGGTGACATACAATTTTCAACCGGATAGTGACTCGAGAACGTTTAGATACAGTTGAATTTCCACCAAAGACGAGCCGCTGTATAAGTATAAAAGAGGGTGAACAATGTGGAAAATAATAATAATGGCAATAATAATAGTATTAATAATGACAATAATTGTAATGATAATAATTTGAATCAATTTATTGTTTTTCGAAGCGAGAAAGGTAATTTCCACAGACATAAAGAGTTCATCATTTGTATGGGCTGTGATACTGCCCGGGTGCCCAAACCGAAGCAGGTGGTTATCTTAGGGGGCCACACCTCGAGCCTTTGACCTAATGGTCTAACCCACAAGGCAGTGGAGCATCGTAAGGAGATGCAATCCCATGGTAGCCGGTGACCAACGATTGGTTCATACGCCATTTGTTCCCGCAGGATACTGGAGCCCAAGTGCACCGTTGGTTTGTGATCCGGTTAAAGCGCCGGACGTTCGCTTTTCGTCCTCTCATTTTCGTAAACAACACCCCCGCCACGAGAAGGCAGTGAGTAGGATTTTCCTGGCAGAGGCTGTATACGCGCGGCCGTGTGAGAGTATTTCGAGAGGGAGAGCGGACTCTCACCACTCTCGGCCGTACCAGGGCGTTTGGGGGTGGTTTTATTAAATCACCAGTATTTGTGCCGTTCTCTAGGTACATAACACAAATAATCTAGTTCTACTGTAGAACATATTCGAAGTCTTTCAGAATCAAAAGACCATTTTGGTCGCTCGGAATATTTATATATAAATATACGCAAATTAGAAATGGTCCTACAATAATTAGCTTAAGTTAGAATTCTCATTCGGGATGATAGGCTCCACTTAATCACTCAACTCAGCACAAAAACTTGCAGAAATAAACAGTTCAGTATATCCGGACAGACAAAAGATGTATCAATAACAAGAAAACACTTGGTTTATTACTGATCAATAAAATATAAGAAAAGAGATTATACGATAAATAAAGTTTAGTTACTCATGAGTAATACACTTATATTATACTAATTGCACTCTTGGCATTCCACTATTTACAGTGTTTGCAAATAGAATCTCTTTTGATTGGACAAGTTATGTTGCTTAGCGGTAATCCAACCTCTGTTTTAAAAACATAGCAATAGTTTTATTTGACTAA